CACGAGATACATGAAATGGGAGCGGGTGGCACGCCTGCCACGAGATACATGAAATGGGAGCGGGTGGCACGCCTGCCACGAGATATATGAAATGGGAGCGGGTGGCACACCTGCCACGAGATATATGAAATGGGATCGGGTTGCACGCCTGCAACGAGATACGTGAAATGGGAGCGGGTTGCGCGCCTGCAACAAGATGAGAAATGAAAGTGAATTCTGTCTTTGTTTTCCTTATCCTTGTTAGTAGTTGGATTTTAGTTCCTTTATAATTCTCTTGATATCCTGTTTTACCTGTTATTCCTCGAAACATGCTTTCCCCCTCCCATCTTTACTTATTTATTTCTGTTTTACTTTCCGCTGTATATTATATAACTGCACAGGTTTATTTGGTAGTCTTGTCCTAGCCTCGTCACTACTTCGCCGAGGTTAGGCTAGGCACTTACCAGCACATGGGGTCGGTTGTGCTGATATTACACTCTGCACTCTTTTGTGCAGATCCCAGTGCTGTAGACTTCGGACCGTAGATCAGGTGGCTACCTTCAGCCCACGTGGAGATCCAAGGTAGACCTGCAGCCGTCCGCAGGCCCTGGCATCTCCTCTATCACTTATTCGCTGTTTCATTTTCCTTAATTCAGAAACAGTGTATTGTTATTTTCTTCAAACTTTGTATGTAGTAAATCTTAGACCGTCTGTGACACTGTGACTCCAGGTTTTGGGTGATTAAGGCTTGAGTAGTTGTAATAGATACAGATTTCAGAGATTATATTACTTTCTTCCGCTTAATCTAAATTTTCCGTTGTTTATAAGTTATTGCTTTAAAATTGTTAAAAGGATTAGATAATGAATTAATTAGTTCAAGGAATTTGGCTTGCCTAGCTCACATTAATAGGCGCCATCACGACTCCCGAGGGTGAGAAATCCGGGTCGTGACACATAAAGACATAGTAATTGATAAGTCCTCACAGGAGGTTCTAGTACCTGGAAATGATGAAAATGAAGAGATCTCAATAAGTTATGTCTCTACGGGAAAAAGGTGGAACCGAAATAAGGTTGTTGTTAACAATAATTTTGCATATAATGTTGCAGTTGAAATAATGCAACAAGATGAGGATCTTGAGCCAAAATCTGTCGGTGAATGTAGATAGAGAAATGATCGGCCAAAATGGAAAAACGCAATTCAAGCAGTGGCTTCACTCGAAAAACGTGAAGTTTTCGGACCAATAGTTCAAACGCCTGAAGGTGTCAAGCCAGTGGGGTACAAATGGGTTTTTGTGCGAAAACAAAATGAAAAAGGTGAAGTCGTAAGATATAAAGCACGACTTGTGGCACAAGGGTTTTCGCAAAGGCCTGACATTGATTATATGGAGACATATTCTCCTGTGGTAGATGCAATTACCTTGAAGTATTTAATAAATCTGGCAGCTATGAAAGGCTTCATACGCGGTTGATGGATATTGTCACAGCCTACTTATATGGCTCACTGGACAATGAAATTTTTATGAAAATCCCTGAAGGATTTAAAGTTCCTGAAGCACATAAAAGTTCAAGAGAAACCTGTTCAATAAAGCTTCAAAAATCCTTATACAGATTGAAGCAATCAGGGAGGATGTGGTACAGTCGTCTTAACGAGTATTTGCTAAAGGAAGGGTACAAAAATAACCCTGTTTGCCCTTGTGTCTTTATTAAGAAGTCTGGATCTGAATTTGTCATCATAGTTGTGTATGTTGATGACTTGAATATCATTGGCACTTCCAAAGAGCTTCCAAAGGCTATAGAGTTTTTGAAGAAAGAATTTTAAATGAAAGATCTTGGTAAGACAAAATTTTGTCTTGGCCTACAAATTGAGCATGTACCAAATGAAATTTTTGTCAATCAATCAACATACACCGAAAAGGTTTTAAAGCGATTTTACATAGATAATGTACATCCATTAAGTATCCCAATGGTTGTGACATATCTTGATATAAATAAAGATCTATTTCGGCCTCAAGAAAATGATGAAGAGCTCGTTGGTGATGAAACTCCATATCTTAGTGCAGTTGGGGCACTGATGTATCTTGCCAACAATACCCGACCAGATATTGCTTTTGCAGTAAGCTTATTAGAAGGATTCAGCTCCTCCCCAACAAGAAGACATTGGAATGGTGTTAAGCATATATTTAGATATCTTCGGGGAACTAGGGATATGGGATTGTTTTATTCTAATGAATTCAAGTCAGAAATGATTGGCTATGCCGATGCAGGTTATTTGTCTGATCCACATAAAGCCCGATCTCAAACATGCTATTTGTTTACATATGCAGGTACATCTATATCATGGCGTTCAATGAAACAAACAATAGCTGCCACATCTTCAAATCATGCTGAGATAATAGCCATTCATGAAGCTAGTCGGGAATGTGTTTGGTTGAGATCAATGACTCAGTATATTCAGGAAATATGTGGTTTTCTTGTGAAAAAATATAATCCAACTACACTATATAAAGACAATACTGCTTACATCGCTCAACTGGAAGGAGGATATATCAAAGGAGACAGAACAAAGCACTTATTTCACCAAAGTTCTTTTTCACGCATGATCTTCAACAAAATGGTGAAATTAATGTTCAACAGATTCGTTCATGTGAAAATTTGTAACTGGGATCGGGTGGCACGCCTACCACGAGATATATGAAATGGGAGCAGGTGGCACGCCTGCCACGAGATACATGAAATGGGAGCGGGTGGCACGCCTGCCACGAGATACATGAAATGGGAGCGGGTGGCATGCCTGCCACGAGATACATGAAATGGGAGCGGGTGGCACGCCTTCCACGAGATATATAAAATGGGAGCGAGTGGCGCACATGCCACGAGATATATGAAATGGGATCGGGTTGCACGCCTGCAACGAGATACGTGAAATGGGAGCGAGTTGCACGCCTGCAACAAGATGAGAAATGAAAGTGAATTCTGTCTTTGTTTTCCTTATCCTTGTTAGTAGTTGGATTTTGGTTCCTTTATAATTCTCTTGATATTCTGTTTTACCTGTTATTCCTCGAAACATGCTTTTCCCCTCCCATCTTTACTTGTTTATTTCTGTTTTACTTTCCGCTGTATATTATATAACTGCACAGGTTTATTTAGTAGTCTGGTCCTAGCCTCGTCACTACTTCGCCGAGGTTAGGCTAGGCACTTACTAGCACATGGGGTCGGTTGTGCTGATACTACATTCTGCACTCTTTTGTGCAGATCCCAGTGCTGTAGACTTCGGAACGTAGATCGGGTGGCTACCTTCAGCCCACGCGGAGGTCCAAGGTAGACCTGCAGGCGTCCGTAGGCCCTGGCGTCTCCTCTATCACTTATTCCCTGTTTCATTTTCCTTAATTCAAAAACAGTGTATTGTTATTTTCTTCAGACTTTGTATGTAGTAAATCTTAGACCGTCTGTGACACTGTGACACCAGGTTTTGGGTGATTAAGGCTTGAGTAGTTGTAATAGATATAGATTTCAGAGATTATATTGTTTTCTTCCGCTTAATCTAAAATTTTCGTTTTTTATAAGTTATTGCTTTAAAATTGTTAAAAGGAAATAATTGGATAATGAAATAATTAGTTCAAGGAATATGGCTTGCCTAGCTCACATTAGTAGGCGCCATCACGACTCCCGAGGGTAGGAAATCCGGGTCGTGACAAGTTGGTATCAGAGCTCTAGGTTACATGGGTCTCACAGTTCACAGACAAGCTTAGTAGAGTATGAGGGATCGGTACGGAGACGTCTGTTTTTATCCCCCAGAGGCTACAGAGTTAGGAAAATTTCACATATTTTCTCTCATGTCGTGCGGTTTGGTTTCTCAATGCTGATTGAATTTCTATTCTGTTCTCTCGCAGATGCCGAGAACACGCGCTTCCTCATCCGCTGACCAGCAGCCCGAGCTCACAGCAGCAGCTCCCACGAGGGGCAGACGGCGAGGCCGAGGCCGTGCTAGAGGCCGAGGTAGGGGCAGAGCTCAGCCCAGAGCAGCAGCACCAGCAGCGGAGCCTCAGGTTGACTTATCTACTTGTTTTATATTGTTATTTTGAGCTATATTTCTAAATAAAAATTAAATTATAAATTCATCTCTACAAGAAGCTACACCAATATGCGGGGGCGAAGCTAGCATTCGTTTGCGTGTTCGGCCGAATCCAGTAGTTTTAGTTTAAAATCATGTATTTGTCTTAAAAATTTATTAAATTATATATAAAATGTTAATTTAGAACCTAAAAATTTGAAATGACTAAAATTTCGAACTCACAATTTTGAATCGTGCCTCCGCCTGTGCAAATATGCATGTATAATCATTTAGGAATAGTAGGTTTATCCCAGTACGAGCATAAACTTTTTAGATTAAAATATTGTAGAATTGGTTATTAGTACTAAGAGCCCGTTTGGCTTAGCTGATTTAGAGTAGCTGATAAGCATTAGATGCTGAAAAGCACTTTTAAGTGCTGAAGCTGATTTAAAAAATAAGCAGTTACGTGTTTGGATAAAAGTGCTGAAATTAATAATATGCAGCTAAAGAACTGGGTATACGAAGAGTTTTGTTTTAAAAAGAAGTATTTTAAGGACAAAATAGTAAATATTTTGACCAAACTTAAACTGCTTATAAGCTGAAATTTGATAAGTTGGGGGAGACCAACTTATGGCTTTTGGCTTATTTTTGGCTTATAAGCATTTAACTTATAAGCACTTTTAATTTTACCAAACGCATAGATAAATCAAAAAATACTTATTAACCAGTTTGACCAACTTATAAGCTTAGCCAAACACCCTTTAAACATTGAAATGGAAGTGAAATTTTAGAAATTGTAGCAAGCACCGCAAGAGAAGACGTACGAAACCACACAAAGAAGGTTATTGCAGAGAACCAAAGGGCCTCGTCGTCATGACTAATTACGTGGCAACCTGCTAACGTGACATTTTTCATTTGCTACCCACGTTGCCACCATCTTTCTTGCCATTAACCACATTCCTCGGACTGTTTCTCTTGTCTCTACATTTTGTTATGTTAAACAGCAACGTAACTCCAATTTCTTCATCATTATTCCCATTAGAATATTGGGTTTTGCCTGCATTTTTCCACAAATATGGTACACTCTCAACTCCTCTTCCTTTATTATCCTCTTGCTTAATCAAGAATTGCATGCGTTTCTGCTTTTCTTTTTGTATTGTTACTTATTTAAATTGGTACAGTAGTTTTGACTCATTTTAATGATACTTGCTAATATACTCATGAGTACTACAATTTACAATGTATCATTTCAAGTTACTATGGATTTTCTTGTCTAATTTCCATTGCAAGCTTGCAGTCATTATTTCCTCTATGCATTTAGTAGCTTGTGGGAGGGGGTAATTGGTAAAATTGTGACCAGGAGGTCACGATTCACGGTTCAAGCCGTGGAAACAGCTCCATGCAGAAATGCAGGTAAGTCAAGGGTCCGGCCCTTCCCAGGCCCCCGCATAACCGGAGCTTGGTGCACCGGCTGCCTATATTATACAATCTATCATTTGAAGTTACTATGGATTTTCTTGTTTAATTTCCATTGCAAGCTTGAAGTCATTATTTCCTCTATGCATTAGTAGCTAACTTGTGGAAGTGGAGCTTAGCGTAACTGGTAAAGTTTACCATGTGACCAGCGGGTCACAACTCACGGATTCGAGCCGTGGAAACAGCCTTAGGTAAAGCTGCGTACACTAGACCTTTGTGGTCTGGCCGCCCTTCCCTGGACCGCCGCATCCCACCGTAGCGGGTGCATCAATTATACAATCTATCATTTGAAGTTACTATGGATTTTCTTGTTTAATTTCCATTGCAAGCTTGCAGTCATTTTCCACTATGCATTTAGTAGCTTGTGGATAACATAGCAGGGGAACACTACTGAATTATATTTAAGCACTCTAAGAATAGAAACAGCAGACTAGAAGGTGTAAAGGTAAATAAAGATCTAGTGTCTGGTCTCTTTCTTCAAACTAACATTTGCAAAGCAGGTCAGAATTTATAGAAAGTTATGCAAATTCTTACCACAGAGCATCCCCGGTTATTATTCCCGGGACCTTACGTCAAGGTAGTACATTCAAATTTGCATTAAATCAATGATAAAGTTAGTTGCCTCTATTATATAGTTGCTATAGTTTCTGTTTAATAATCTGTAGTCATTAATCAGGACAGTGGGAAGTTGGGTCCGAAAAATTGCGGGGAACACTTGGAACAGGCCAAAAATAATTTTCCAGTATGTAAATGTGGATTTGATATGTTGGACGCTGGCTTTTTCAATGACTGTAAGGTACTTCGTTAATAAGATCACTTAAACGTTCCGTTACTACTATTGTCGTTCATCGGAAACTAAGCCCATTTTGTTTGAGTGCCCGTTCTTTTTCAGAAGCTTGAAATACAAAACGGTGCACAAGATTTTAACGTTCCTATAATCAGAAGCAACAGGAAGTTAGTTGCTACTGAAAATGGAGGTCTACATAACCCTTCTCCTTTGGTTTTCAATTCTGTATGGAATGCGAAAGAAGTAAAGCAAGGAACAGACAAGTTCAATTACCCTGTATACTCTGGTATTCAAAGGCCAAAAAATGATGAGGATATTGCTTTTATGAGTGTAAGTGCACCCTCTTAGTCCCTTTAACTTATACTGTAATTAATTATTCCGAGATTAGTTATCCCGGGATTGTTTTCTCACCCTATTATACGGATTTAAGAAACTCTACAATTCCTGGATAACTAATCTCGGGATTAGTTATACCGTGATTCTATCCCAACCAAACGTGGGATAAACTCATCTCAAATTTGATCCCGGGTTATCCCTTTCCCTCGTACCAGACGAGCAAGGAACTATGTTGTACCAATGTATGTCATTTTTATTTTATTATTCATACATGGTATTTTGTTATATCAGATTCTTGAACTTGGGCACCTTCTAAAGGAAAAATTAATTACATCAGCGGAGCTAACCGGAATATTTTTGGACAGATTAAAAAGGTATGGTGAATGCTTTTCTTCCTGTAATCTGCTTTGTTTGTTATTGAATAATTTGATTCTGAAAATGATGTGCTATTCTGGAGCTTCACAGGTATGGTCCTGTCCTTGAATCGGTTATCTCAATTACTGAAGAATTAGCATATCAACAAGCAAAAGAGGCTGATCAACTGCTTTCAAAAGGCAAATATTTGGGTAACATTCCTCCTTCGTCTCTCCCCCTTGGCCCTCTTCCTTTCTTCTGTACCTTTGCTGCTATTAGCATTTTACCTAGTTGTAATATCCATCACATTCCGCATGTATAGCACTCGTATTACTACCAGTTGTTTCAGTGCTTCAGTTTTCTTGTTATTTTGCTGTTGCTTCGTGTTTCTGTTTCCTTTTCGTGGTTTACCCGTTATTTTATTTCTTTTCGATTATGATGTGACTGTGACTTTGCTTTTCCTGAGCCGAGGATCTATCGGAAATCGCTCGTCTATCTATTGCGTACACACTACCCTTCCCAGTCCCCACTTGTAGGTCTGTTGTCGTTGTAATATCCATTACATTCCAGCACTTCACTTTATTCTCGGAAATGAATTTTCCAAGTTCTGATCTTAATTGGAAAAATTTCTTATACAATTAGCTTTCTCTGAATTTGCTCAAAGGGCTAGATACATTTATTTGATTCTGCTCTCTATAGGCCCTCTTCATGGTATTCCGTATGGTCTGAAGGACATTATTGCAGTACCAAACTACCCCACAACATGGGGTTCCAAATCTTTCAAAGATCAAGTTCTTGATCTCGAAGCTTGGGTTTATAAGAGGTATTGACAAATTGATGAATGTAGAGGCCGCATTCACTAGCTACCATATATTATGCATGTGTTTGTATAACTTATAGATACGGTTGATGCAGGCTGAAATCTGCTGGTGCTGTTCTTGTTGCAAAATTAGTCGCTGGTTCTTTAGCATATGATGATATTTGGTTTGGCGGTAGAACAAGAAATCCATGGAATATGGAAGAATTTTCTACTGGTTCATCGGCAGGGCCAGCTTCCTGTACCTCAGCAGGTATATCTAGTTATTAAGCTATTCCTAATAGGTAGTATTTTGATGGAGTTGAACCTATCCTCCATTGTCGCAAATATGATATTACTTGTTCTGCTAAGGTACCTACTTCTGTCTTTTTGTTTATCCGCACGGTCGAAAGAATGGACTTGAACTAACAATTAGTCATTCAGTGATCCAAATGAACAGAATTTAATAGATCTTAAGTACTGGGCCTAATCCTGAAATTGGTTCAACAAATATGACCAACAACGAGGAGAATTATGTGCAATAGGTAAATGGTGATCAGCAATATCATTCCGCCTATGAACTTTGTGTTTGTGGATGGAATCCTCCATCTAGACTTAGAACGGCAGTTCCCGCCCCTTTGTGTTAGTGTGCGTATTAGCAGGCGAAGTATATTCTTTTGACAACGGTGTCTTTGTGTTGCAGGTATAGTTCCTTTTGCAATTGGTTCAGAAACTGTTGGGTCGATTACCTACCCAGCTGCTAGGTGTGGTGTTACTGCATTGCGGCCCACTTTTGGAGCTGTTGGTCGTACTGGAGTTATGAGCATATCTGAAAGCTTGGTACCATATCTCTTCCACAAACACAGAATTTGATTCCATTTCGTATGTTTTTATCTTTTATTATAGCTGCACTGATACTTAAATCTGGCTGTTCTATTAGGACAAACTAGGACCATTTTGTAGAAGTGCAGCAGATTGCGCTGTTGTTCTCGATGCCATCCGGGGAAAGGACCCAGATGATCTTTCATCCAGAGACATCGCGTTAGTTGATCCATTTTCAGTTGATATCACAAAACTCACTGTCGGGTATCTTGAGGATGCGGACAAGGACGTAAGTGGCTTCTTTTCATTACCAGAAATTTTACCATATATTACTAATTCTGTTATTCAATCCGTTTCTTCATCCTCTGTGAGTGCCAGGGCTAGACTGTTTAATTATGTCAATGACAGGTTGTTAATGTACTTCAATCAAAGGGAGCGAAGATGGTTCCGTTTGATCTGAAATATACTGTTGACAGTGCTCAAGGTATTGTCAACTTCACTATGGATGTTGACATGCTGTCCCACTTTGATGAGTGGCAACGCTCAAACAAGGATGATGAATTTGAAGCTGAAGACCAATGGCCTCTTGAACTTCGCCGTGCCCGTGTAATAACTGCTGTAGACTATATTCAGGTACATGTCTTGGTCTAGAAAACATTTCTCGAGGTGTTAAAACACTTTGCTTAGGATAGAGCCTGATCCACTTTGCAGTTTTTGTTCAGACATTAACAGATATTTGTATGTGGAATCAAATATTTTGTTAAGCGTTAAAAGAATGAAGTTGTACTTCACAGGCACAGAGAGCTAGAAGCAAATTGATTCAGGAAATCAGAGAAAGCTTCAAAGTTGACGCGTTTATTGGAGATGCAACTGATTGGGAGAAAGTTTGTGTGGGCAATCTTGTGGGTATGCCAGTAGTGGTGGTTCCAATAGGATTTAAGAGGATACCGAATGCTCCAACAGATGATACTCGCAGGAGGACAACAATCACTACAGGCATTTATGCTCCTCCCGACCATGATCATGTTGTAAGGCTCTAATTCTCTCTCTTATGTTTTTGCGATTTGTAAGGGACACCTCTCACTAGCGGCAACTCTAGAATCATCTATATCTATAGTTAGTGTGTTCAGAATGAGTGGTTTTAGTATATTAGTATGTGTATGCACTTTATTTTTTCTTTGTATATGTAACATCGTTCGAACAGAAAGCAATGAGTTCATTTGAACTCAAGGAACGCGCCCTAAATCCATGTTTACTGTCAACACTATTGACCTCCATATTGATTGTGTGTGTTCCTTTTTATGCGCAGGCTTTAGCACTGGCAATGGCTTATCAGTCAGTCACCAATCATCATAAGCAGCGTCCTCCAATTGATGATATTGGGCCAAACGATTCGATTCCAAACCCACCCGCATCCATGATACCCGCAAGACAACTACGTGGTTATTGATCATCTCCGTGGGACTTCTGCCATCACTTTGTGTCGTTTAACTAATTTTTGAAGATGTATACCACTAGTTGTAATAATTATACAGTATTATGTTGGATTATCTTTTCTTAGTTCCAGTGTGAGAAAATACATTTCTTCTACTTGTTTCGCTAGGTGAGATATTCGGGGGCGGGGGCCTTCTTTCTGGTATATTGGTTCCATTCTGTTTAACCTTTCAATAGTTGATGGTTTGGACTTTGGATTAACTTGTAACAGTTGAAGCAACTCTTGACATTTTGTCTAGTCTTGAACTTGGATTCAGAAGGTTAGTTTAGATGTTAGGATACAGACTCGGTTGCACCGGTGCCAACTTACCATGAGTAGTGTTTAATGGTAGACAAGTAGCAAAGGGTACTTATTTTTCTTGGACAACAGAAATTAAAGAGGAAGGGCCTGGTTTTATAAATATAGTTATTTGCGAAACACACAAATAAAGTACTACTCTCCAATCTTGTAATGTTTATTCATGAGCAGATCTCCCTAACATTATAAAACCGGGCTTGTATGGATGGTCTTAGCTGTAGATTGCGGATACGAAGTTCACTCGGTTGACTGTTTGGGATGAACTTCGGTTGACTGCTTGGGATGATTGTGAGTAGGGGTGGTAAAATGGTTAAAAGAAAACAGTTAACCACCCATATTATCCACTAAAAAAATGGGTTGAATAATGAGCTTTTTAAAAACGGGTCAAATATTGATAAGAATCATATTGTCTAACTTTTACATTTGAAATGCCTCAAATTGGGGGTTCAGGGAAACTAAGAATTCTCCCAACAGGGATCATATGCAAGAATAATATAGTTACTCATATTATCCGCAGGTTAACCCGTTTCTTGTCCATATTAAATATGGATCGGATCTTATAATTTATCCGTTTTTCATCAACCGTTTGCGACCCGAACCATATCCGACCCGACAATCACGTTTGCCACTCCTAACTGTGATGAAAGAACATTAATCAGAGGATTCATAAACAAGATATAACATAAATCTCTATTTCACAAAACTAAAAACTAGATTACTAGAATCCATTTTGCTGCTAGTGTCATCAATTTTCTGTCAGTCGTAGCTACTGCTTTGCTTTAATGCTGTTGGAAGGAAAAGGAGAGACTATGAATAATGAATCATAAAGACATCAAAAGAGAAAGTCAAAATCCAGGAAGAGGACTAAAATAAACTTAACAAAAAGAATCTAACTATGTAAGCAACTTGAACAAAAATCTTCTAATTCAAAAACTATGGAAGAATACCCTAATTATATGGATCTGTCTCATTGTACATTGTCACACATTGCCTCCTCCGAGGGAAAAAACATAAAATTTTGGGAAAGTGTTTGCTGGCCTTGGCCATTAGGTAAAGCAGGGTGAAGAAGTAAGATAGTAAAGGAAAATAAAAGAACAGCATAGCACCTAACTCAAAACATGCAAGTCTTTCTAGCACTCACTACTTCTTCCCCCATCACTAATTATCACGTCTCGTCCTTCTACGAGGAGCAGCGGTAGCATCCTCATTCTGCTCTTCTTTCTCCTCTGTAGCTCCTTGGCTGTTAGAAGTCGATGCCTCGGCGCCATCACTTCTCTTAGGCTCTTCAGTAGCTCTGGCCTGCACGAGCAAGTAGGTTTCTTTTATCAAATATACCCAACAAACATGAAACCAGGTGTGATATTTCTTTCTTTTCCTATTTCTTTGGACAAAGGGATGGGAGGAAAGCTGAGGCTGAGTTCGGACTTACAGGTTGCTGCTTCTTCCCGCCAAAGATGAGCTTCAAGAGAACTGTGAAGATGATAACTATGATTGAAATGACAACACCAACTGTGAGATTAGGCTGTGTCTCGGCCTTCTCAAGAAGATCCTACAAGACGAATCTATGTATTAGCCACACATACAAAAATGAAACAACATGCAGCATCAGAACACCGGGTCATTCACTCACCAGTACTTTGGACTTGTGTTCACCCAACAAGGGGATGTCAGCCACCTTGTAGAGAAGATCAAATACCACTTTCTGCAGATTGTTCCAATATATCTCAAGTCAAGTGACGAAATACAAAGAAAAACCAAGAACCATGGAATGTATGGTGAAGAAAGTATAATCAATTACCTGGAATCCTTTGAGCCCACCAGAGGTCGTTGCTTCCTCAGCCTTCTGTTTCTCTTTCTCTGCATCAAACTTGGGCTTCCATGCAGTTTTCCTGTATGATTCTGCAACTTTCTCATCACTGGCTATCAAGATATTGTCAAACAATATACCATCTTGCATTGTCCAAATTTCAATGCCAATTGCTGCAACAGGCTCAAAATTCGGCCTGTCGAGTTCGAAATAGTTAGGATTTGGAATATCCCTTGGCTTCCAAATACCCTTGTAATTGGGATTGTCAATCAATGGAGCATGCCATTTTCCCTTGTAAGCTGGATTGCTCTTCATTGGTCTTCTCCACTCCCCACATCCAGGGCCCTCGGCACACTTCGGGTTATCAATTTTCGGAGCCTCCCACTCACCATCTTCCTCATCAACCCAATCTTCAGGCTTTGTTGCCTCAGGATCATCAATCTCTTCAGGTTCGTCATCCAACCATCCCTCGGGCTTCTCAGCTTCCTCATCTTCAATCTCCATTGGTGCATCCTCATCCCAATCATCTGGTTTCTTAGCATCTGGGTCTGGGATTTTTTCCCTCTCATCCCAGTCCTCGGGCTTCTTATCTTCTGGATCTGGAATCGTCTGTGCAGGAATGAGAGATGGCTCAAAATCATCCTCTGAAAGAAAGTTAGCCTTCTTCTTCTCTTCCCCGTCAATCAAGATCAGCAACTCATTGTTCGGTCTCAGCACAGCAGTGTAAACATGGGTTAGTTTGTCAGAAGGTACAGATGGTGGAAACTTAAGGTGGTGCTCGATGTACTCCCCGCTCTTGGGATTCTTATGTTTCAAGATGAAGTGAACCTTGTTTGTGGCTCCACATTTATCTGGTCCAAACATTATAGTATAGGGAGACTCATTGTTGAATTCCTTGGGAATCCAACCTGCCTCCTGGGGCCGGAGGTATTTAAGATAGGCACCACCACATTCAAGTCCATCCTGGAGGCGAACTTCATATTGAAGAACCACAGTTCCTTCTTTGAGGTCGACAACATCATCAAGCTCCTTAACAATAGCATATTTCCTTGCCTTCTCACTCACAAGAAGCCCATGGTCATCATGTCCTTCACTCTTGGCATGTTTCCACACACCTGAGACACAATTACAACTGAATATGAACTCTTGGAACTTTAACAATCGAAGCATTATAGGCATAAGGACATCGCACAAGGATACAAGAAACACTCTGCAGAAGAAATTTATTTTAACAATCAAGGCTTGACTTAGCATTATAGACAAAGACATTGCACATGGATATACGACACTCTACTGTGAGATTTAGTTTACAGCTAATGTGAAAAAGAATCAAGGAATTCTATTATTGCTTCAAAACAAATGAATTTCGGGCCATATCTGTCCCTGGGAACACAGCTCTGCAGCATATACATAAAGTATTTCAACTCTAAAACAGGGTTCAAAATTTGGCGGGGTGGCAAATATCTAAAACACCATCATAGAAATTGATGGATTTGAATGCTTTATGATTTTAAAAAAAAAAAGAAGTTAATGGATTTGAATGATAAAATTATGCTTAATGGACTACACAAAGCATCTTTATCGCTTTCTCTTCTTCTTTTTTTTTTTTTTTTTTGCACGGGACATCTTTATTGCTTTCTTTACCTGGATTTTTTAGGTACAGACTGATGCTGTCACAAACAACACAATAAAGATAAATATTGAATGCCCCTTCATTCGTTTTTAGCTATATAATCATTATACACATTAATTAGTAATACTTCTCTCTGAGTTCCTATATGATATTTTGGTATTTATAAGTCATTATCCCACCCTAAGGATGTCTCTCCCGAAGAAACGAAGTTTCATGAATTCAAGTCCTTGGATAATTCTTCTTCTTCCTAATAAAAGTAATTATGCAGTAGCCATAGATTTGCAGTAATTACTTCTTGTAATGCGACTTCAATCCACTAATCTTACATACAAATTCATGAATGATAACATGAAATAAGCAACACTGTATTACAAAATATGATGAGTCAATCAGAGTAGGAAGAGCTAACATAGACGACTATAGAAGACAGTAGTATAGAACAGTACGGTAATTCATGAAACTATTCATAATGCTGCGTCAGGTACCTCAATTCTATTAAACTGAAAATGAATTATTTCACTAGACTTAACACCCAACATATGCACCACGTCACCCTCCTAGAATGCATTCATCCACGAAATTCAAAATTATCATTTCAATTTTAAACATGAGTTTAGCAATGGTACCCTACCCCTCCACACAAAAAAAGGAACACTGCATCCGTCACATTATTATATTTCGTTTCGGATTATAGTTTCATTGTATACATTATCATAACTTTCGATAGTTCAAATTCCAAATTTTAAGCTTTGGTATGATTTTCTTAATCAAGTCGAGTTTTCAACAATTATGCTAAATAAGATATGCTTAATCAATTCAAATTCCATTATGCTAAATAAGATACACAAGACAAATTCCAAAGGAATACTTAACAGATCCAGACAGAAAAGCTTACCATTATACTCCTCTTTCTCAGACACAATCCAACGCCCATCAAATGCCTCATCGAACGACTCGTAAAATTTCTACAATCACCAAAAGAAAAAAAGCAACTAATTCTCAGCCAAAACATATATTCGTCAAAATATGATCTAGTAGTAGATACGCTATTGTAAAAACAAACATGTAACATACACTTAAGTAAAGATATTTTATCTTACCACATCTGAAGAGGCGTAGAGTTGAGCGACGAAGCAACCGGCCAATAGCAACAGTGCATATTGCGTCCATATCCTCCGGCTCCGCTCCTCCATATCCAAATATGGTGCAAAGAGAGAATTAGATCTAGAAACCGGAGAATAACAGAGTGAAATTTTGTAGAGCAAGATATTCAGATGGTAGCATAAATAGATCTTGAGTCCCAGAAAAAATACTAAAATACTTAGATCTGGAGAAATGTGGCATCGAGTTGTTGTAGCCAATTACATTGTGCCACGTGAACTGGACCAGTTAACATTCGCCACGTCGTTTGGACCGAGGACTTTGTATCGGAAGTTGTCATTGATCTAAGTAATTTTAATTTA